TGCAGTGAACTAATCACTCCCACCAGAAGCAGAGAAAGATCATAAACAAAAATTGCAGGCTCTGATTCGAGAAATTATTGTATCAGGATATTTGATGTAAATTTACATCAAGTGTCTAATAACAGACGGCCACATGATAATTTGGGCCCACTGACATGCACGGTTCGGGCCTTGTCATTGAACACCTGACACAAATTTACGTCACGTGTCTTGATACAATAATTTTTTCTCTGATTCAGCCATATCATAACTTATCTGCTATCCTGCCAATAGCATCAGCAAGCTTGTTCAGAACAACAAGAAGTCCGTTCACCTGATCCTTCCTCTGCTCTCTATCTAGCTGCGTGTTTACGTTCTGTGATTCGAGCTGTGCAGCGAGCATTCTGTTGTTTCGGTCCAGCAATTCGACGATCTGCGACGGCAAGCCGGAGCTGTGTTCGTCGTCTTCGTCTGATGTTCGCCGCCGTTTATGGTTCTCGCGTTTAGGGGAGTCTTTGCAGCAGTTTTCAGCGGTTGTTTGCTTGTGTTTGGAAGGACCTGCTTAATTCAAACAAATTGAAATTTAGTTCAATAATTGAGGTTAGATTGATAAAGTTGGATGCTGGTTTTAACTTTTAACATGGTGACATAAGAACAATTACATAAATACCGACTGATGTTAGATATGTAAATACATAAGAATTGGGTGGTGGGTGTTTAAATGACACTAATTTAAGGTAAATGATTCCGGCCAAATGGATTTATTTTTGGTAATTATCATATGCATCACCTGAGGTTTTATTAGATGCCATATAAGAATTGGTATGCATCTCTTGGACAAACTTTTCCCAAAAACTTAGCATTAAAATGGAGGGCATTTGGGGAATTCATTTAAACAAACAGAACATTTAAAGCCATTAATTCTAATATCAGTTTCAAATCCAATAATTATAGTTTCAATATGATTTGAGTAATGAATTCAACAAAGTAATAATAATAATAATAATCATAGAACTAATTAATTGGGGAGAAATATTTGCGTACGTTGAACGTACGTAAAACTGCGCACCTCTGTAGGTTACGGGGAGAGTTTTGGGGATTATATCTGCGTTATATCCCCTGTAACCTCCCTGTAACCTACCTATAGCTAATAAGTTTCGTGCTTCTGATTTCATATATTTGTAAGTTAAAGCAGTGACTTTAGAACAAAAAACAACATTAAGAAAATCGAAACAATCAATGAAACAAAACATAACCTGGAGTAGATTCCTCCTCTTGAACTAATACCAACTTCTTTTCTGCATCCAAAAAAAAAAAAAAAAATCATCTCACCAAAACAAACCAATTCAACTCAGCTTTCAAAAAAAAAGCCAAACACAATCAACGATCAATAATCAAAATCAAACATCCATCAATAGAGTCTAATAATTTCCCCCAAACTAAACCCTAGAAATCCCACATACCAGAAATCGGAAGCACCTCCACCGGCGGCGTCGGCCTCCCCATCTCGCTCTCCTCATCCTCATCCACCTCCTTCTCCTCTTCAAAATCCGAAAACAAGCCATCATCAGCCGCGCTCCGTCCGCTATCGAAAACCACCTCCTCCCCATCTCCCTCCTCCTCCACCGCCGCCGCAGCAGGAGCCGCAGTCGATGCCACCGCAGGCGACACCACCCCGTCCAGTATATCATAAACTTCCCGATCAAAAAACCCCGGCAACTTTCTCTCTCTCCGCAAGTCGTTCCTCATCCCCCAAAACGATTCCGCCTCCCCCCGCACCGATCGCCCCATCTCCCACTCTTTTATCTTCTTGTAATCCCCGGCGAGATTGCTCCACCGCTTCCGGCACTGAACCGCCCCCCGATTCACCCCTTGCCGCCGACAATAAGAAGAAACCGCCGCCCACTTCGGCTCAATCGCCACCGCAGACGTCGAAGCCCGCCCTCTTCCTCGGCTTTCAACCACCCGCTTACCTTGTATCAGAACCAGGATCTCCTGACGCGTCCACCTCGGAAGCCGCGGCGGGCCGGCCCACCCCCCCCTGCGTTACGGACCGACGCCACCCCGGTGTTTGCCATCAGGTAAATCCGTTAACGGTAATTTAACGGCGCCAGAGGCTACCCGGCCCCTCGGGTGAGGTGGGGTTAAGAAGGCATGTAGTCAGTAGAAGAAGAGGGAGAGGAGAAAGCAGAGGGCAGGGTGAAGGGAAGGGAGGAAGAAGTAGGGGATTAATTAGGGGCTTAATTAACCTACTAAATGAGGGCTTAGCGTGTTAATTACCAATTGTACAACAGATGGAAGTCTAATTGCATGATTTAAATATATAAATAACGATTGGATGATATGGATTAGAATGTCCTTTTGGAGGGCTATGTATGTATGGCTTCTTTTGTGCAATTGAAGAAGGGAAAGGTGGGGGATATCCCTTTCATTCAATTTGGATTGATATGGCACGCCCAACCTCTCCTCCTAGACTCTTAGCCCTTTAGAAATTAGTCCATCATTAATAGTAAGATGTAGATTTATTAACATTATATGTATTAAGATTATATATATCTATGCTATATGTGATTAATGCGATTACATATTAAATGTTTTTTTTAATTTTTATGAGAGCGAGTTTAATAATGTTTGATAAATTTTTATTATTTATTTTTATAATTTTATTGAATATTAAAGGTTAAGTGTTAGTAGGGATGTAAGATAAGCAAGCTTTAGGGAGCTCGGGCTTTACTTGTGTTTGGTTTGTTTGAGCTGGGGTTTAAAATTGCTCGTGAACAGTGTATTCGTGTTTAGCTATATTTGCATAATTTTGTTCGTGTTTGGCTCACAATTGACTCGTTTAAATTATTTAGAGAAATATATTTATGGTGTTGGATTCAAATCTGTATCATTCCCATGTAATAGAATGCTTAAAATCACATGATCATATGAACTGTTAAAATTTAAATATAGATAAAAATATATATACTATATTATTATATAAATAATATAAATAGTTCCCTTCTTTCGTGCTAAAACGAGCTAAACTCAATCAAATAAGGAGTTATTCATGTTTGGCTCGTTTATAATTCTGAGCTTAAAGATTTTGGTCTTATTCAGATCGCTTATTTAACGAATGATTCAAACACGAGCTACTTAACAATCTGAACACGATTTATTTGCAAACAATGAGTTTTTTTTTTTTTTTTTTTTTTTTTTTTTTTTTTTTTTTTTTGGCCCCCCTGGGGTGGGAATTTTTTTTTTTTTTTTTTTTGTGCAGCCCTAGGTGTTAGATATATAGATACATATTTACATAAGAATTATGTGATATGTATGTAAATTCCCCAACATAAAATAAAAAATTAAGATTAAGTAAATAAGCTTTTGCACCTCCATGTCATGCGATGTTTATGCAATGATCATGTAATATCTATTTTCTAATTGCATGGAGTTTTCACATTAAGCATATTAATTAATAATCATATTTTAATCTTTTTTTCAATTTTTATACCAAAATAAGCAAATGAAAAAAATAGTGGTATTCTTTGAGTTTTTGAGTTCCGGATTCATTTCACGATATAATTACAGTTGCTTAATCCTGCAATTCATTTTGTACATTTGATGTTAAATTCATCAAAATTTAAAATTAAAAAAAAATAATGAGAAATTAAATTTCATGGCCTAAATAAATTACAAAATTGAGATGTATAAACACAAATTCGGACATACACTTAATAAAGCCCACATGCCAAAGTGGTTGAACAGAACCCGCTTGTCAAAGTGGCTGAAACGAACCCACTTGCTGAGGTAGATGAATTTCATCTTTTCTGTGAGGTAACCTAGTCCATCTAAGAAATGACAACTACCATAGAAGGTCATCATTACAAGCAAGGATGTAAGTCCAGCATTCCTTAAAATGTGCCGCTTGATATTCACATCTTAGTTTTTTCATCAAGACACGATTGATGAATCTCGTAGTATACTAAATGTATTTTTCTTTTATTTGCTTTTTTTTTTTTGGATAAAGGGGAACTTAAGATGAGAGGAGAGGACCTTGGATCTTTTTCTTGGAGTCTCTCTTTCTCTCTCTCTAAAAACTGATATCCGAGAAATTTCCCTGGAACCATTTTTTCAGGCTTGTCGGAGGTTCAAATTTAATATACAATTCATGAAATCTTCTCTCAAGCCACACATACATCTCTCTTCTACCACTCTTCCACAAATACAAGGTCTTTATCGAGTTATATGTACTTACGAGTGATACGAGACCACCATAAATCCAAAAAAGACTCAATATCCTGAGAGATATAGTATACTTAAACTATGTATGAAGTTCTTTCTCATATACAGAAAGATGAAAGAGAATGATGGATTACATAAGAGAATTTCAGATCCAATAGACCAACAAGCTAAGGGTTTTGATGGTCATGCAAGATATGTGAGAGGCTTTGCGACCTTGCTCCCAAAACACATACTGGATCGTCAGGTAGGTAAGAGCCACTAACATAAGAGCTTCCAAAAGAAGAGCCTCCTAGGAAAAACATACCAAGAGTTAGACCAAGGAGAGTTCTTTGTCTGATACTCAAGCAACAAGAAGCGCATAAAGATCGCCCTAGTCACTTCGAAGAAGGGGAGCTTTTGAAGCCTTGTATGAAGAGGAGAGAAGAATAAGAGAAAGACAAAGATTCACTCTTGAGTAATAGATGAAGAAGCTAGGAGGAGAAGAAGAAGAAGACAATGACTATCAAAGAATGCATTCATAAGGCTGATCATGGAAGCTGAGACACCAAGGAAGTTTAAGATTCCTTCTTTGGAATCTTATGAAGGGATGGCTGACCCCACAAATCATCTAGCTTCATTTTAGTTAACAATCTATTTGCTTAGAATCAATGATGCTATAAGGTGTTATTTATTCTTCATTTTCCTTAGTTCGTCAACCTTCTATCATGATTTATCACTTCCTTTAGAGAGTTCCAGCACATTTTCATGACTCAATTTATAAATGAACAAAAGCCACCAAAAAACTCTCAGGCACTCCTAATAATCTGCAAAGAATCTACTGAGAGCCTCATAAGCTTCATGAATTCCTTCTAATGTGAGATGCTAGGTATACACGATCTAGAACCTATCATTTCCCACTTCACCCTAGCTCATAGCCTCCATAAGGGGCCATGCAGGTATGGGCTTGGCTTGCAAAAGCTAAAAACTTTTACCAAGCTCCTAGAACTTGCTAATAGTCACATATCTGCTGAAGTGCATAGCTTCAATCCTGGTTCCTCCCGATTGCAAGAGTATAAGGAGATTTTTTAGAGAAACATGACATATATGTATTTCTACAGTGCACATAGTGGTGTAAAATATGATAATTTTTTTTTAATTTTAGATTTTTTGACAAGTACGTACTACACACTAGGTTTGTGTTTAAGTAAGTGCACATATCGTTCAAATAAAATAGGACTCTAATGGAGTCCCGATTATCGATCCCTCGAGGAACAAGGTTAATATATTAAAACCACTTCTTAAATGCGTTTGGTATAAGTTTAGCCTATTCAATTCTACTGAATTAATTATATCTCTAAATTTAATTAAAAAGCTATATGTCACCAGGTAAAATGGAAGTAGTAGAGTTCAAATTATGCTAAAGTCCCTCTCCTTGCAATGAGAATTCTAATCAGTGTAGGAATCAAATGCTTAGAAATTTAATTGAAATCATGTGACAAACAAGAGAATACCTATTCTTTAGTCTCTTCCGAGTGCATAAAAAACATTGGCTAACATAGAGTTAAGTTCCTAAATCCTTGGTTACGCTGGGTAGATTCTAGCTAGTCATCCTAGATTACTCACGTAAGCTCTTAATTAGGCTAACCTAACTTTAAGCTCCAAACCCTAAATCAAATTGGTTAAGGTTCTAGCCTATCACTATAGAATTACTAATTTACACCCGTCAAAACTTATCTCCCTATCTATTTGCACTAACCTATGAACTAGCTTTGTTCATCTACTTAATTAGTGTGAATCTTATTAGTTGAGGAATCCATAGCCCTCCCGGGTCATTTGGGTTCACAAAAAGTTTTAACTTAACAATTAGCCAAATTGCATAAGTAGATTAAGTACGAAGTAATGAATCATCACAATTGTGGAATAAAAGAAATTCTAAACAATTTTGATCCTACACATGATTATTTCTCATCACAATAATAAAGATAAAGAAAACTACTCATATTTCATGGGAAAATACAACAACACATGAATATGAAATTCGTGTTTTATTGTATCATTCTCATGAATTTTGAGTAGTCTTTTTATCCTTCTCCCTACTTTAAAATATGATTTTGTGAAGAATTGATTTTATTTTATACGGGTTTAAATGTCAATAATTTGTGATGATTTGAACTTTGATCTTCATTCACTTTTCAATATGACCAATTAAATTGTTAAAATGTGCTGAGAAACATATGTTCTGAAAAGGCTATGATTTCTACAACATAGGGAAAATCACATTTGATTTCATGGGAGAGGATGTCATCGATGGAGTTGAGTGCAAATAGATAGGGAAATATACTTTGTTGGATGTAGAATTGGAGATTTTAAGGCGACAGATTAAAATCTTCAATTTGGTCCACTTGATTGTAAACTAATGCGAAATTGTTAGCCCTCAGGTGAGGGAGTAGTGGGAGCTCTGGAGTGGCGGGCGGGGTGCGATATCCTCCCAGCCTAACCACAGAATTAGAAACCAAACTCTGGATTTGTTAATGTTCTTTATTTATATTCAAATTTCACACTTCACTTTTATAGTTTAAAATTGTAGTTTGCATTATAATATTAAGAATTTACTTATAGGCATTTGTAACTTCTCTGTGGGATCGATATCTAGGACTCCATTAGAGCCCTTTATTACTTAAGCGATACATATACTTGTATTATTTTTAGAGGATTTGACAGTTTAAAGATTTTTAAAAGAAAAAACTATTTTCACTAAAGTTGTTTTTGTTGGGATTAAATTACATATTTACTATTGTATATGCTGTGTGTATTTTGTAATATTGAAAAATATTTGCAAAATTAACACACTAAATCCACCTGCATCATCTAGCACGCTTAGGATGTTAGAGATTTCCCTAACCCAGATGGGGTATAAGTCCTTTATGGGTTTGTTTAGACTTTATAGCTTGATCCCTCTTCTCTTTTCATTCTAGTGGATTTCATTCCATTTATTTGGTGCATATAAGTTCAACAACTTTGAGCTCCACCTTTATAAGTTCATAGGAAGTTGGGTTTCATTCATTTAACCTTAGGGTTACTGAGGTTTCCTTAGAGTACACAATTCTTGGATTAGTGGTAAGGAGTCTTAGCTCAGATTGGGTCGACTACCTTCACGACAAAATAGGCTTAGAGTCTCCATAGCTTGGAATGATGGATCCATGCTATCCTGACCCGACTACCTCTACTTATTTAGAGACTCTCTCCTTATTTTAATATTCCCCTTTGAGCCATATAGATCCTTTTGGTATCATTGATATCATTTTATTGGTTTTTTTTGGCTGATAAGCTCCCACCTGTTTGGAATACAATGATTCACCCTCTACCCTTATGACCCAATATAGGCTTGTGATATTAGGATGATCCTTTTTGAGATGATTTGGTTATTATGTAAATTCTTTGTCTCAATATAGTCTTCAATTGTGATGTTTTTTAATCAAGATAACCATCCTTTTGGTGACCTATTCACCAGTTATCATGATAATATAAGCAAGATCTGTATTATTGAGAGTATTATTGTGTATCCCCTAAGATGTAATTATCTAAAGGGATGCGTTCCTTTGGGACATTTCTTGAGTCGAGAACAAAAAGTATTCTTTTCAGTTCTCTGGTTATGTTTGACTTATGTTTGGATTCTCTTTATGGATACTGTGCTTCTAGGTATTTTGATCCATTTTATTTAGACATATACTCTTGACCTATCTTGGAAGGATAACCTTACATATGCCTTACATGTTTTTTTTTTAAATTTATTTGCCTTTTTTTTGTAGTATATTCTTCTTTTCTATTCCCCTCCTCTTCAAACTATTTCTATTATTCGAGATAGTGATTTATTTGAAAAAGGTAATCATATAATGAAATATATGTATATGTATTTGTATATGTGTGTGTATATATATATATGAAAGATGGAGGCGAAAGCGGAATTCGGCTGACAACTCCAAGTTTTAAAAAGAACCAAAAACAAGGAGTGCCAATGCTCCCGAGGATGAAGTATATCTCTCTCACCAGCATAAGCTCTAAGTGAAGGCTAAATCTGGTTCATTGATAAGTAACTCCTCGTGTGAAAAGACAATGTGCCTCTGGATCAGAAAGGTCCATTCTCAAATCATTTTGTGTTCGCACCTATAAGATCTCTGTTCTGAGTCATTAGGCTCAATGAAAGTCGAAGACCCATACAGCTGTAGAGAGCTAAGAAGTCATCATTCTCTCATTCTTCTCGTAAAACCTGGTCGAAGAGCAAAGAGAATCTAAAAAATAAATATATACATAAATATGATCATATACCTAAATAAAAGATTTTTGTGCGCTGAAAACTATTATGTTGAACAAAGCCCACTTGCCGAAGTAGCTGAACGGAGCCCATTTGTCAAAGTGGCGAAATTGAGCCCACCTACCGGGGCTAAATTTCATCTCTTTTGTGGAGGTGACCTAGCCCATCTAGGGTAGGAAACTATCATAGGTAGTCGTCATTACTTGTTAAGACGCAAGTCCATGTTTAAATGCACCGCATGCCATCCATGTAATGATATTTTCATTGAGACATCATGAATGTGTGTCGTACTATATTAAATGTATTATCTATTATTTTCTCCTTTTTGAATAAAAGGGAATTCAAG